CCTCCCAACCCCCCTCTTCCCCCCTCCCAACCCCCCTCTCAACCCCTCCCAACCCCCCTCTTCCCCCCTCCCAACCCCCCTCTCAACCCCCCTCCCAACCCCCCTCTCGCCCCCGCTTGCGACTGGCCGGTGGGACAGACCTCGCCATGGAGGATGTAGTTATGGTCGGCAGCAGCGGTCCGCTCGTCGCCGCGGCCGGCGGAACGGTTGGGGGGGCAAAAGGTGGAGCCGAAATGGACAGCAGTATCAGCAGCATTAGCAGTAGCAACGGCGCCAGTGGAAGCGGCGGCAGCAGCAGCAGCAACGAGGTTGCCGTACGGTACGAGTCCAAGTTTGTAGTGACGCCGTTGTTCGCTACAGCGACGACAGATGATAACGGAGTTGCGAAAGTGAAATTCACGGCACCGCAGAACCTGGGCACATTTGTTCTGAGGTGTGTATATGTGGGTGGGTGGGTGCTGAAAAATCAACCGACTGACCCGTGGGTCACAGCGGTAGGACTAGTGTTGTCGGTAGGCCTCGACCGACGTACCTATTTGTGGGGCCCGACCGTGGTTCATGTTGTGAAATGAGCGGCAGGGTGCTAATAATCGACCGAGCCATGGGTGCGGTGCCATTATAGTCCGACTGACCCGTGGGTCGTGCGGGAGGCTTGGCTGACGGAGGCAGCGATGTGGCAGATTAGTTTTTATTCGCTCCTGGATCGAACTGGGGACGGATGCTTTCTGGCTGGCGGCGGGTGATGCCGAAATGACCCGTGGGTCGCAAGGGGGAGTTCAGCACGGAGGTGAGGGGGGGTAGCTCCAACGCCAGCAGGATGACCCTCAGTCTGCTTCCCCTTGCGGCTCCCCATAACTCTTTGCCTGTCAACCCCCGACCCCCACCATCAACCCCCCAACTCCGCCATCATCACCACTACCAGCAGGAAGAAGCGTGTGTAGTTGATCAAAATCAATAAAAACACAGTGCGCTCGTTCCCCATCCCTCCCCGCACCAGTCGTTCGTTCCCCCTCCCCCCTCCTCTCCACACGCACCCACACGTCACACGACCATCCATCCCACATCAAGGACGCAAGGACACACACTTGACCTTCCTCCCCCCGCACCCCTCGCTCCCCCCTCCT